ATATTTTATATTTATTAAAAATTATTTTTTTAAATAAATATTATAAGATTGATCATATGTATCATTGACATATTTTCAGTAAATATTAAAATAATAATACATTTTATTATTACACTTAAAACTCAAACCTTTTTTCCAGTTGCGCCCTGCATTATTCAGTAATGATGGGGGATGGGACTGGTATGCAGGAGGAACATCATGACTACCATCTGTGAAAATCTTATTATTTAGTCAAATCCGCTAATTAATGTAAAATGATAAGATGATATAATATAAACGTAATCATAAATAAAAATTATATAAAACAATTTTTTATCTAATATTAAATTATGTAATAAAATATATTTAATAATAATCTATCAATTAAAAAATAGTTTTTGACATAATATTATTATGAATAAAATTTGAAATTAAAAAATAAAAAATTATAATAATTATTCTAAAACAAAAATAAAAAAATAAAAATAAAGTTTAATCACTTTAATATAAAAATATTAAAATAATTAAGAAATAATGTTTACAATGATTTTGAAATCCATAAACTTACACAAAACTCCATTATTTTTAGAATTTTCTTCCCTAGATGATTGCGTTTTAGGAATCTGTACCAAATGCCCAGGTTGTACAATTACATGTTGGAAGACACTTGTTGGAGTAGGCGGATTTGAAGCTTCAGTAGTTGTCATCACAACACTCGTAGGAGGTTGTGTTCTTTGCATATCCATATGAGTAGATACATGTGTAGCCACTTTATTTGCCTAATAATAATGATATATTTTATTCCATTTATTATTAGATATATTTTTTACATTTAATATCATAATCAAAGTGAAGTTAAAATTAGTAATGAAAATAAATGAAATTATTAATAAAATTATTAAGATTACTTACCTGTAAAACGGATAATTTGTCGACATGGACGGATGAAACAGCAGGTGATTGTGGAGGCTGACATTGCGTTTGATGTAATGTTGCTGGAAGTTGACCTAAGTGATTCATTAATGCTGGTCTATATTTATCATCTTGATTAGTTATATGGCCTGCTGCAGATACATCCATACTATTTTTTATCACAAGATACTTTTTTTCATGTTGATGCTGCATCACATAAATTGGCTGATTTTGCGTTTGTGGTTGAGCATAATCAACAGGTTGTTCCAAAGGCTTATGTAGAAGAGTCAAATTTTGTGGTGTTGATGTAGATAGTGGCATATGAGGTGAATGAGATGGTTTTAATATTTGTGAATTTTGTTCTGAAATTTCAGAATGATTAGAAAAACCATTATTCGTTGTAAGTGCATGTTGAAGAATGATGCCTTGTTGCTGTTGAGCTATAGTCGTCACAACCGATGGATGCCGCGGCGGTGGGCTTTGTTCTGACCATGATGAAGTTAGATTGGATCCTGGTATACCACGACTTACAGGAGAGATTCTTATCACGCTTGTTCCTATACTAGCAGGAACTGGGGCAGTTGGAGCTGAACGATTCGATCTAACCACTCGATTCGGTTCAGGTTTTATCACTTGCTGTTGATATTGAGTAAGGAAAGTAGATTGAGTAGGTGAATGTTTCCATTTCGCACCAGGCGAGATTAATGGAGTTGCATGATGAGCAGGACTTGAAATAGGCATAAACACATTATTTTGATTCAGTCCCAAGGGTGGTACTGGAGATTGATTGATACAAGGAGATATCGAAGATTGTCCTGTTGGTGAAGAGAAAGCTGGTGTTGCCGATCTAGAACTTCCTAAGGAAACTATAATAAAAAAATATTTATTTTTTTAAATTAAAAATTCAAAAATTTCGTAAAATATTAAAATTTAAGAATTTACCAAGCATATTAGCAGCTTCAGTTTCATCTGGATCAAATCGTCCAGCAATTCTTTTATCTCCATAATTTGGAGAAGTATCAGAATCTCTAGATGTTTCTTCACCATCAATTTTGCCACTAAATATTTCCATTATTTAATATACAAAATTATTAAATTATTATATTTAATTAATAAATAATTACTATTTTTCTTACCCAGAAAAAGTATTTGTTGGACCTCTAAGACAAGATCCTTTCAAACTAAGATGACGAGAACAATATCCTCTTCGTTGACTTTCTTTGGAACATCCTTCTTTACTACAAAGTCTACGCCATTGTTTACCATTAAATTTTTTTCTAACTCCACTTGGTGTAGCCACTACATCACCTTTTTTATATCTATGTGGCGTTGCCGCCTGAGATCTATTTAATATTGAACAATTCAATATTAAATTTATAATTCTTTTATATTTTTTATTTATTAATTAAATCCTATATTTTATTTAATTAACATTATTACCTGGGCGTGGCTGCTTGAGAACGAGGAGTTATACTGCGTTGTTCAACTAAACTACTGGTACTTCCTCGACTTTGCATGCTGCTTCGTTTACTGCTCCCTGACAATTTTGCATCTGTCAGTTGAATATATTTATATTATTATTATTTTTATTAATATAAATAAAGTATAAAATTAGAAAAGATAGATATAATAAAAGTTATTAAAAAATAAAATAAATATTATAAAAATTCCGAGATATTAGTTACAATTAAGTTACAATATTATAATTTATTATAATAATATTCTGAAATATATAATTTTATATAATTTTCTGAAAATTTATTTCATTTCATTTCATTAAGAATAAAAATTCATTTCTAATAAATATTTTATTAAAAATTTCTACATTTAATAATTTTTAATAAATTTAAATACACAATAGAATTGTGTATTATCTAACCTGCATCTGAAGGGAATGTAATATCTTCCCTATCTAAGTCATCTTCACTTTCTAAATCATCATACGGTCGACTTCCATTACTTAATGCTGTAGTGGCAGGATGTGTAGAAGTGCCTAAAGTCATGAGAGGACTAGTACCAGTCGTTCTATAATAACCACCTGTGTCGCTATGAGTTGATATATGAGATGTATGATGAGAAGTGTGATGAAGTTGCAAAATTGGCACTGCTGTTGGAGCTTCTGAAGAATTTCGATAGCCATGTTCTACGAATCAAAAAAATAAAGGATTTATTTCAATGAGAATAAAATTTCTTATTAAAAAATTACATTAAGTTTTTAATTATATTTTATAGAGATATACTATACCAATTCCTTCGATCCTCGCAGAATCACAGTCTTCTAGTCCTTCCTCTAATTCATCCCACCAAGGAGGTTGCACTAATCGTAGATCCGCACGTGTCACAACATAACTATCATTTCGATCATCTTCCCTTGATATTTTAACAACAAAACGCTTAGGATTTGATAAAATCTTGCACACTGTCCCTTTTACAAACACTTTAGCCGCATCAATATGATTGTTTGATGGACACTTGATACAAACTTTTGCATCTAAAGTCACTTGCCCAACCGAGGGGCTCGCATCACCTATCACATCGTACCTTCCCGCACCCAAAACGTCAGTGTAACGCATTAGTTTTCTTTCTCCATCAAACTCAATATAAATTTCTCCTTGAACAACATTACGAATAACACCTGGATAATAATATGAATCCCTTAAAGCTAACACTCTGTGGTCGCGCCACTCACTGAGATCAATAGCAACAGGCCGAGGACGAGGACGTAAAGATTCCTCTCGAACAGAATAATCCACTGCTGTACTTTGAGGTGGTAAAACTACCACTGAATGTGCCGAGGATACCTAATATTAAAATATCATGATTAATACATATAGAACTATATTTAAAAATATTATTTCAGTTTGATGAAATATCTTTTTGATAATTTTTAGTGATGATGTCTTCAAGATTCCTATTATTTATAACTTTTTTATATCATTTTTTACCCAAAGTATAAATAAAACAAAAATTATCATAAACTGTATGAACATTATATTTAAAAAAAGAAATTTTTTATATATATTTTAGAAAATAAATAAAATATATTTTCTTGAAATTATTTATTAAATATTTATATATATGAATTTGTAAAATAATTAATAACAGTTTTCATTATTAAAGCATACACATATATTCTTAAATCTTAAACAAATTTAAGTTTAATAATTTCATAATCATTTTTCTCTTTCTTTAATAGATATCAAAAATAAATTATGTATATAAATTATATATATAATATTTAATATTATTATATATAATAATTTATATATATATAAATTAAATAGAATGTAGATACTATTTATCAAATAAGAAAATATAAATTTTTTTTAAATAAAATGTAATTTTTTAAATAAAATGAATAATATAATTTAACTTTCTTATTTCTTCAAAAATTTGCATAAAACTTAATAATTTAAAAAAATTAAAAAAATAATAAGATATTTTACATAAATTGTGTTTACATTTTATTGATAAAATTCATATTTTCTTTTACTCTATTTTTAGATTATATTTTTATGAATCATATTCGTATTTCTAGCTAATAATCATTTAATATTATATAGTTTATCATAGAGAAAAAACTTCTTAAATATTTATCTTTATTCTTAATTTTCTCATAATATTTGTTTCATAATACAATTTTTTATGATTATTTCAATAGTGAAATCATTAAAAATAAAAATTTAATTATTTTAATAACCAGGAAAATATTTAAAATCACAATATATCTTATTACATTTTTGAAACTTTAATTTGATATTTCACCAAGATATTATCTTATAGTTAATTCTCTTATAAAATTTTTCTTGCCATACGCACTTGATAACAATCGGATTCTTGTTGTTGCGGAGATTGCCGAGTTGCTGAAGTTGACTGTTGAACTAAACCTGATTGACTGAGTGGCATATTCGGTGCCCGTATATTTATCATATTATTTACGGTTCTTGTTACATTACTGCTTTTGTCTATTTCCTCAAGCTCCGATAAATCATATTTTCGTTTCTTTGGAAGTTTCTTAGCACTGATCGTTGGATCAGACGGATCCCGCTGAGGAGGCACCGGCGGCGGGGGTGGTTGTTCCGGAATAGATTTCTCTTCAATCGAACTGCCGCCA